ATTAAAAAAAAAAACTCAACTAAAACTAAATTAAATATACAAGTAAACTGTGAAATCAAAAAAAGATGCCTTGTTTACACTTTTTCATTCTAAACCTACACCAATGGAAGCAAAAAATCACATTTCAAAATGAAGAAAAAAAAATGGAGGAAAGAATTACCTTTTTTGTTGTAATAGCTTTTGCCAAAGAGAGATGAAGTAATGTGAAATAAACTTGAATCAAAGAAAAAGATTTTGATAATCTTGAAATGTACTTAAAACTAAGGTGAAGAAGACGACGTTAGAATTCAAATTTGGAAATAGGGTTTCAAAGTGAAAATGAAGAAGAAAAAATAAGGTGAAATGAAAGAAATTGTGTGAATATTTTGATATAAATTGACGGGCAACTTTGTCATTTTACTAATTAAAACATTTTAAATTTTTTTATTTTGTCTTAATATTGGTCAAAGGCCATTTATCCAAATTCATTGTCCAACCAGACTATTTGGCCAAATTTCCCATTAAAATATTCCACCACCGACTCATTCCTTAAAATTTTACTTACTTACGGCTTTACATAATAATTCCTTAAAATTTTACTTATTTACCTCTTAAAGAAAATATAGAGATGGAAGAATGAAACTCAAGCTTTAACAGCCATACTTACCTCTTTTTCCCCTCTTCCTCTTCTTTCTTTTTCTCTTTTTGTTTCCATCTCCTCCCTCTCTTTCCATTTTCCGCTTCTGCTCTCGCCCAACTTTCTGTTTTGCATAAAATAAGAAATGGGTCAATTGCATAAAATAGGGTAAGTCCTTCATTTTCTGTTTTATATAACATTTAGCCATGAACTTTCCATAATTGAATACTAATTCCCTAAATTTCCATTTTATTCATGACTATGACTGTGAGCCCTCTCTTCTTCTTCTTCTTCTTCTTCTTCTTCTTCTTCCTTTTTAGTCCATTTTTATGCCATTTGCTTTTAGAACTTGGAAGTTATTTTTTATATATTGTTGACCCCAAAAAATGGTCTTATGACGTGCCCAACAGAAAATTAGTAAATCACTTCTTCAAAGGTTGAATTACAACATACTGGAACTCAAATATGAACTGTAACTATGAATCATCGTAGGGAATGATCCACTGTGTTATGTATGTTGTTGTTGTGATTGTTTTTGGCATAAAAATGGGGTCGGCCGTGGAATGTAATAGAGAGAGTTTAGTTTTACTTTTGATATGCAAATTTAAATTGTCCTCTACCGTCTGGAGTCACGCTTTTTATATCTCCCCATGAGTGAAGACGATCGGTTCAATGGTAAAGGATCCAATGGTCCTTGTTCGAGTCAATCAATCAATGAAGCCATTAATGCTTAGATTTCCTTATCTTTGTCCCTGACAGGATTTGACTACGGAGGTGTGGAGACGGCGTTGGCAGGACGTTGTCTTGTCAATCATTCCACTGGATATTTTGCCAGTTGACTTGTCGTCTCGTCAAAGGGGAGCCGATGACTTTGTTGAAGGGACTCAGGTGAGAACATAATGGAATTTTATGTGGGCTCGCCGCTTGGTATACACAGGGTCGTCTGTCCGTTCTGCCGTCGATGGGCTCGCCAGCTTGCCACGTGGAATTTTCTATTACGATTATTCATATGAGCAACATCAGTCCCCTAAGTCCAGTATAATTATTTATATCTTGCGTGGACTTTGAAGCCTGAGAAGTGATGGGATTTTGACATTGGCTTGCTGACAGGAGCTGGCGTATGTCTTTACCTTTCTCTACTTGAATTTCAAGGCCATGGGCCTTATGTCGATAAAGGCGGTTCTCCGAGATCCTGCAAAGACGTGAGGTGTGGTTTCTGCGTGGTCGAACCTTATTAAGGCAAAACCTTTTGGAGACGAATCGTGTTGAGGCAGAACCTTTTGGAGATGAACCATGTTGAGGCAGAACCTTTTGGAGACGAACCGTGTGGGAGCAGAGCCCTTTGGAGACGAACCGTGTAAGGGTAGAGCCCTTTTGGGAATCAATGTGTTGGCTTCCAAAGAGCAACAACTGGATATTCTCATTCCCAAAGCTCGAGCGACGTGATCATTGAATGCACAATGATGATGGTGTCTCACCCCTACCCAGGCATACGTGAATTCTTGGCGCGTGAGCTGCACGAGCTGATCTGGGCTATTGATTCAAATTCAAATTTGCGCATCTTGGCTTCTATGCCAATGATGGGGTGACAAGTGGATGACTTAGATTAAGGTTGGGACAACATCCAACGGTGGGGACTCATCAGTTAAACCTATAAAAGGCAGGGAATCACTCTTTTTGCCTTTTTTACTTTTTCGAAAGCTTAACTTCCCAAGTGCAAGAATTCTTCTCTCCGAGCCCAACAATTCCCGTCATTGCCAGTGATCAACTACATTTCAATTTTGAAATTCTTCGGGACTCGATTTTTGCTAGGTTTGGTATAAGTATATTTTCTTTTTCTTGCTGTACAAAGTTCTTCTCTTCTTTCTCCTTTTTTTCTTTCGATGGCTTCCGAATCAGACAAATGTGTAGAGGGAGATTCTTCTAGGTATGCATTGTCTTAGTTCACACTGAGGAGGGAATTCCTCTTCCAACATCCCCTGAGCAGCTCGTAGAGGGGCATGGTAACGTAAGGTGGGGGGCCTCCTGTGGCCGACAAATATTAAGGAGAACAAACTTGAGGGCTTTAGGGAAAGGTTTAGGATTCCTCACGATATTAAGTTACTAGTTTTGACGCAAGAGGAGAGGGTATGTTTCCCCAGGAAGGGCTGCGTGGCGGTGAGTGAGACAATCCTGAGTGGGGATATGAGGTTGCCACTGCACCCTTTCTTTAGGGTTGTCCTTAGGGAATATAATTTGGCCCCAACCTAATTAGTGCCAAATGCATGGAGCCTTCCTCCTCTAGATGGAAGTGACCATTGGGGGTGATATACCCTCACACGTCTTCCAAACCCTCTTCCAACTCGGGTGTCATGTGGGGGGAGTGATTGTAAAGGGTAGTATTGTATAAATCCCTGGGGTCCACACTCGTCTTTCATCTTTGGGACCCGTACCTCAATCAAGAATTGGAAGTCCTCCTGGTTCTGGGTCAGGGTTTGCTGGCAAACAGTGGAAGTGGATATGGTTCAGAGATCATCATACTGACCTAATACAATGAGTATAGTAAGTCAAGCTTCTTTATTGTAGTGCTTTATTCTGTTCATTTATTTTTTATTTTCACTAAAGTGTGTTTTATGTAGGCGCGATTGATTGATTTGAACTTGAACCTTTGGAGTGGACCCCAATCTGAGCCATACACGGACTCCTCTTGGAAAATAGGCACTTCAAGAACATTATCAGTAAACGAACCCTTTTTTAACATTCATCAACTAATGACTACCAAGGGTAAGGCCATACATTCTACTATTTTGTCGGTTTTCTTTGATGCTATTATCCTTAAATCCACATGTATTTTGTAGGCCAGCACGATAACAAGGAAAAGGCGAGGCCGACCCTGCTTCAATTGAGGAACCTTGGGGAGGCTCAAAGAAAGAAACCCATAGGCGCCGACTCCTCCACCTATAAATATCAGCGAGATGAATTAGCTCACCTTTCAAATACAAAGCCGCCTCCCCCGGTTGAGAAATAAAGGGAGAAAGGGAAAGAGAAAGAGGTGGAGGCCACGTCTGAGTAACCCCTAAAGAGGAAACTGGTAATAACAAAGAACTCTGGCCCCGACCCCACTCGCAAACGCCAAACTAATATTGGGAAGTCCCTAGAAAGACCCAATTTGGTGGAGGCGATCTCATCTATGAAGGGCGTTCAGGAGGAAGAGGAGACTGGGGAGGGGGTCAACCTCATGAGAAAAAAGAAAGGGGACGCGAAGGGTGCCTCATCTGAGGAAAAGGCTCAGAGTTTTTTTTGGGGCGGTTGGATAAGATAGCCCCAACTATCATGGAGATGCTCCCCGCGAAGGTCCAAGGGGTGACGAGGCTCAGTCACAAGTATTGGACCGAGACATATTCATCCCATGCTAACACCTGTAAAGTAATTGATTTTATGGAGGCCGGACTCGCCATGCAGGCTCGCTCTTAAAACGTCTTCATTAGTGCTCAAATGGAGGCGAGACGTATGCAAGGACTTGTCAATGATTATCATAATTGAACCCAAAATGCTGAGTTTGGGGTAATTAAAGCTAACGCCGTAGCCTCTGCCGCAAATAAAGCTGCTGAAACTTTCAGGCGAAAATGCACCAAAGCTGAGAAAAAGGTAGAGGCCCTCTCTAAGGAGAACAAAGAGCTAAAAAGGGGGACCTACCTATGCAAGGCCGAGGTGGCTGCCCTGATGAAGCAGATCAAAAACTCCGATGTGCTCTAAAAAATTGCCTCTTCAGCCTTGGAAGTTGCAAATAAGGAGAAATGAGAGCTGAGGGCTAGAGTTGACGAGCTCAATACTGAGGTTTCTAGTTTTGGCAAGCAGCTTGAAAGGGTTAGAGAGACGATCGTGGATAACTATGTCGCTCATTTTCACGAAACCACCGAGTATAAGGGGCTCAAGATCCATTTCAGGAGGGTAGCCTACAAGGAAGTTTTTGACAGGCTTTTCGAGCTCCACCCGTAATTGGATCTAACTACGGTGAAGGAAGAGTTTCTCAATGCAAGCCATCCACTCGGGCCATCGAGGCTAAGGACTTGGTTGAGGAGGTCGACCCTCCTGGAGGGCAAAGTCAGCAAGGGGAAAATACCTCGTAGGGTATTTCTTTTTTCTTTCCTTTGTACTTGGAACTTTGATTAAAGTGTAATTGAATGTTATTCTTCTGCTTCAATACTCGTTACTCAGCTCTTACAAATTGATAATTAATAGGCTTAGTTAACACGTAACAAGCGAGGGTGGTTGCCTCAGAATTAAAGGGCCATGGGCTGGATACCACGGTTAACTCCTGGGGTAGTTGCCTCAGAATTGAGGGAAAATACTAGCACTTGTCACGCTTCTTGACGAACTGAAGGGCGTCCCTTTTCAGGGTTGGCTAATAGTAACCTTGCCTCAACACTTTATGGGCCAGTGTTAGGCCTCCAATGTGGTTACTGCATATTCCTTCGTGGATTTCCCTTAGTACATAATTTGCCTCATCTCCACTTGTGCACCTCAAAAGAGGCAATGAGAAACCTCTTTTATATAAAACTTCATCCTTGAGTATGAAATGGACAGCCTTACACCTGAGTTTACTGGCCTCTTCCTTATGTTTCGGTAGGGTATTGTTATGGAGGTAGGCTGTGATGGGTCGCATCCAATGAGGGGTTTTTTTGACCCACATTACTTCTTCTGCTTTGGCTATGGAGGATCTAGGGAGGTACTCCACAAGGACGATCTTGAGCAATTCTGAATCTTTACTGCTTACCAATTTTGAAAGGGCATTCGCGTGCAAGTTTTCAACCCTCGGGATCTGGGTTAGTTCAAACTTGTCAAAGTAGGGAATCAGCTTCATCGCCTTTTTTAGGTATGCAGCCATACATTTGTCCTGGCTGCAAAACTGCCATTGATTTGACTGACGATGAGCTGTGAGTCGCTCCAAACTACTAGATCCTTTACTTGCATTTCCTTAGCTAACATGAGGCTTGCTAAGAGCGCCTCATATTCAGTGGAGTTGTTGGAGGTTTTGAAGCCGAACCGTATTGCACAGTTGAGCTTGTGGCCTTCCGGGCTTTCTAGTAGGACCCCTGCTCTTGAACCAGTTTCTCTAGCGAACCTATCTACAAACAATGTCCATGCTGGATGGTGCGTTAGTTCCATTTTGACATTGAAGTCTATTGCCCCTGTGAATTCGACGACAAAGTCTGCCACTGCTTGTCCCTTGATGCGGTCCTGGGTCGATATGTGATGTCGAACTCAGTAAGTTCTACGGCCCACTTCATAAGTCTCCCAGATGCATCTGGTTTTTGAAGCACTTGTCTGAGGGGAAGGCTCATCAAAACTTGTATACTATATGCCTGGAATTAAGGTCGCAACTTCCTAGAGGCGACCATAAGGGACAACGCTAGTTTCTCCATATCAGTGTAACGGGTCTCCGTCGGTAGGAAGGCTTTGCTAACATAGTATACAGGCAACTGGACGTTACCATCTTCTTACACAAGTACCGAACTTACGGCCTCGCTACTCACAGCCAAGCATAGTAACAAAATTTCCCCTTTTCTTGGCTTGGAAAGAAGGGGTACCCGTTCGAGGTGCTCCTTCTGCCCTTGGAATGCCTCTTCACATTTTTCGCTCCAGTAGAATCTTTTTCTCTCTTTCAGAGCCTTGAACAAAGTGAGGCATTTATCAGTCAGTTTGGAGATGAAGCGATTCAGTACCGCGAAGCGCCCTGTTAAGCATTGCACTTCTTTTGGCTTACTGGGGGATTTTATGTCTAGTAAGGCCTAAATTTTTTCAGGGTTAGCCTCAATGCCACACTAGTTTACCATGTAGCCTAGGAATTTTCCAGAAGCGACTACAAAGGCGTATTTTGACGGATTCAACTTCATACATTACTTCCTTAAGATGTCGAAGGTGGCTTGCAAGTGATCGACATGATCGGTTGATTTAAGGCTTTTTACCAGCATGTCGTCAACGTATACCTCCATCATTTTCCCCAGCAGGTTGGAGAACATCTTGTTTACTAGTCGTTGGTAAGTTGGGCCGACATTCTTCAAACCTCGGACATGACCTTATAACAATACAAACCTCGATTAGTGATGAAGGAGGTGTACTCCTCGTCAATGGGATGTAAGGGGATCTGGTTATACCCCGAATAGGCGTCCATGAAACTCAACAGCTCATGGCCAGCAGTAGATTCAACCAATTGATCTATCCTTGGGAGTGGAAAGCTATCTTTTGGACATACTTGATTGAGGTTGGAGAAGTCTATGCAGACCCTCCATTTGTCGTTACTCTTTTTCACAAGCACCAGGTTCGATATCCATTTTGGGTATATTGCCTCCCTGATGAACCCATTCGATATGAGCCTCTAAACTTCTTCTTTTAGTGCGACATACAGCTCCATATTAAAGCCTCTCTTTTTTTGTCTGTGAGGACTAAATTTAGGGTCTACGTTGAGCTGGTGGCAACTGATTTTGGGGTAACCCCCACCATGTCTTCGTGTTTCCAAGCAAAGACGTCTAAGTTGCTAAGCAAAAAGCATTTGATCTTGTCTTTTGTTTCCGGCTTGAGGTCCTTTCCTATCTGTAATGACCTCGTGGGGTTGTTTGAGGTTATGGGGAAGGACTCCAGTTCTTCTGCAGGAGTTACATGTGAGTTTGATTCCATGACCCGTGGAACCAGGTCCACCTCAATGACTATTTCAGGGACGTCTATCATGCTGACGTCTCTCCTTGTTTAGGGGTTATTCTTCAGGTGCATCAGCTATTTTGGTATCTAACATGACCATATTTATGCTTCTGGGCTCATATTTTCGTAGGAAGCTGAGATAGCACTCTCTTGAACTCATCTGGTCACCTCGCACAGTTGCGATTCCCTCTTTTGTGGGAAATTTCATACAAAGATGATGTACGAACGTCACCGTCTCCAATTCCTTCAAGGCAGGTCGCCCCAGGACTCCATGGTAAGCGGACTAATGGTTCACTATCAAGAAATCCATGAAGTGTTGAGCTCTGAATGGGTATTATCCCATCTCTATTGCCAGTGTGATCCTTCCCCTCGGGACGATGCTGTCCCCAGTAAAACCGTACAGAGGGGCAGTCATTAGGGCGAACTTGTGGTCCACAGTCATCTTATCGAAAGTGGTTTAGAAGAGGATGTTAACAGAACTCCCATTATCAACTAGCATACGCTTTAAACCGTTCCTGGCAGCAATAGCTCGCACCACTAGCACATCACAGTGGGGGTGGTGAACCCCTGCGGCGTACTCTTGGGAAAAGGTGATTCGTTGGCCACTCCCAGAATTCTTACTGGCACTGCTGACGAGGTAATTTTTCAATGGAGGGTCATTTGCTTCCCTCGCATAGTTCCTCAGAGCGTTTTTGGAGCTCCTTCCTATATGCTGGCCACCAATTAGGGTGTCGATCTCTCTAATGGGTGCATTGTCAATAGCGAATGGAGGCTCTCCCCCAAGTCTCTAACCCCATGTTCTATTCCTTTCTTCATGCTCCCACCGCGGGGATTTGCTTCGGCGATCCCTGATTCCTTGGTTGTACGAGGCTCTTACCTAGATGGATGGGCATTTGTTTGCCTACAATAGTTATTTCTATCCGTAATAGGAGCCCTGGCAGGTTCTTCATAATATCGCCAGGGGGAGCTATTTTTAGTGCTATGGCCATAGGTTCGGTGGTATGTGTAGTATGGCATGTCCCTTGGCTCTCTTTTCCTTCTTCCTCTGCCTCTTCCTCTGGGCGTGTTTGGCTGCCTATGGGTACAGGTCCAACCTCTTCATATGCCAGAGAGGGCACAACATTTAGCGTGAAAGTTACCAAAGCTTGTCCTGAGGTGGGTGCTATAATGTGTCCTGCCTGGGTCTACTGTTGGTCCACTAGGTAGGATACAGGGCCTCTTCTTTGCTTCTGAGGCTGTGGGAACCCCCATTGAAGTTCAGTTCCTATGGTCAATCAATTTCTCGTTGACAATTTCACTTCGCGTCATTTCCACCAGGGTATCATAAGTGGTGGGGTTCTTATTTCGCACATCTCTCCAAAATAGGGTATTCATGTTGAGTCCCCCCTCATAGTGCGGAAAGGGCCTCTCTGTCAGTGACCTGCTCGCAATACATCATTTCGTCTGTAAAGCAAGCCAAGTAACTTTTCAAGGTCTTCCCTACCTGCTGTCTCATGTCCTATAGCCTCTGGATAGGGGTCTTTCCTTCTTTGCTTGATAGGTATTGGTTCAAAAAGGCCTTCTTCAGATCAGCTAGCTTCGATTACTATTAGCCAGAATGCAACTATACCAAATTTCAGCAGTCCCTGTTAATGTGAGGTGGAAAGCTCGACATTTTAGTGTGGGTGAAGCTCCTCGAAGCGACATTTGAGTCTTGTAGTTGTTGAGGTGTTTGGCTGGATCACCTCTCCCTTCTTACTTGGGTATTTTTGGTGGTACAAAGTGGCTGGGGACTAGAGCTCTCCTCAGTTCTTGGGAGAATGGTAAACTTTCATCATCGTCATCCAGTTCGAACGACCTGCAGGGGCCCTCAAGGTCGTCCTCTTCAGCCTGATAATGGGGTTACGATGTCCCCACTTGATTCCTCGTGTTTGCCGCTTCTCTTATTTCCCTCTTATTTCTAGGCGGTGGCGGCATCCTATGGGGCTCATACTCCAGATGATGTTCTCGCTCTTCATGAGTAGGAAAAGGCTGTTGAGGCCTATTTCAACAGCCTTTTTCTAGGCCTTGTGGGTCAAAAACACTAGCAGACCTTTGAGGCTCACGTTCCTGGGGATATTATGGGAAAAAGTGTTCCTCCATGGACGTGTCTCTGCCATGGCGAATTGTGGCATAGTTGGTAGATGTGTCAGCTTCTGCTTTCCTTTCCATGGGCGTTCGTTCCATACATTGGCGGGTACGCCGCCGTATCATTTTATTCACCCGCATAGCGAAAAGCCTTGCATTGAGAGCCTAGGACCCAGCTTGTTGTTGCATCTGCATCAGTAGCTGCTGTATGGCAGCATTTTTTTGGGCCATATTTATAATGTTTGCGGCCATTTCTAACTTCTCGCACTAGACACGCAGTTGTACCTCCTCTTCTATGGCAATGGTGAGGGCGGCGTATGTTCACGTTCTTGCAGATCACCTCTTCTTCAAAGGCATCCTGGTGGGTGTTTCCACCGTGAGTTCCCTGGTGACTTGAACTCATTATGTTCCCTAGATTTCTTTCTCGAGATGGTTCTTTATTCAAGAACCAAAACATTTCTTCAAGGCTTTTTACCCACAGCTTTTCCCACTAGGATGTTCGTGGTTATGGTATCAAAGTTTCCCATAGACAGCGCCAATCTGTTGACCCCAAAAAATGGTCTTATGACGTGGCCAACAGAAAATTAGTTAATCACTTCTTCAAAGATCGAATTACAACATACTGGAACTCAATTATGAACTGTAACTATGAATCATCGTAGGGAATGATCCACTGCGTTATGTATGTTGTTGTTGTGATCACTTTTTGCATAAAAAGGGGGTCGGCCGTGGAATGTAATAGAGAGAGTCGAGTTTTACTTTCGATATGCAAATTTAAATTGTCTTCTACCGTCTGGAGTCTACGCTTTTTATATCTCCCCGTGAGTGAAGGGGATCCGTTTGATGGTAGAGGATCCAAGGGTCCTTGTTAGAGTTAATCAATCAATCAAGCCATTAATGCTTAGATTTCCTTATCTTTTTTCCTGACAGGATCTGACTGCGTGGGTGTGGAGACGGCGCTGGCAGGGCGTTTTCTTGTAAATCATTTCTCTAGATATTTTGCCAGTTGACTTGTCGCCTCGTCAGAGGGGAGCTGATGCTTTCGTTGACGGGGACGGGGCTCGGGTCAGAACATAATGGAATCTTATGTGGGCTCGCCAGCTTGGTATACACAGGGTCGTTTGTCCGTTCTGCCACCTGTGGGTCGCCAGCTTGCCACGTGGAATTTTCTATTACGATTATTTATATGAGTAACATATATATTGATCATTTGATTGATGATTTAGTATTGTGATTTGTGAATTTTGATGAATTATGACTGTGAGCACACAAGTTGTTAGCCATTGAAGTCATTGACAGTCGATAGTCCACGATCAACGATCAATGGCCGTCCTAACTTATCAACATTCCTAGATCCGCCACTGCATGCATTGTGAATTTTTCGGAGGTAGGTTACCTGTCCAAGTTGACATAAAAAAATAACTGAAGTACAGCTTAACATGTATTTTACATTTTTTGGATTTATATAAATTGTAATTCTATTATTTGTTTTGTCGTGTCAACATGCTCAATTTGTCAGCACTTTTACATTTCATTAGTCGAATTCTTGATGGTCTATTTTCTTCCCTTCTCTGTATGCTGTGAACCCTACTCAACAACTTTTCTTGGAAGATCAAAATAGAACTTGTATCCTGAACGAATTTTTGGTTCTTCAGACTCCAATTCTTGTAGGTCTGTATTTGACCTTTTGACAGCAAAAATGCCCATATTCCATTCAGTGCACATCCATGTGTACACTAATTCATTGAAAAACACCATCTTTTTTAATGTTATGTTTCCTTTCCAGTAAACTTTTTCTTTTCCTTTTTTCCCCCCTTTTTTTGGTTCACCTTGATTTTCTCTTCAGAAATTTAAAATAGGGTGTATTATGTTCAAGGAAAAAAAAACGTCTAAGGAAATGGAAGGGAGAAAATTAGGAAAAATAGCCTTAATGAACAATGCTATCTATTATGAATGATAATAATCATTAGTTTAGGTGGGTTGATTTATCGTGTAATATATAAAAATACATCACGTCACACTAAATAATCAATCGAAAAGTTCATTACCATTTAAATGGGACTAATTGACAACATCTGATCCATACGGCTATACATCAAGACAGGGCCGACTCTAGCCCAAGGCAACCTAGGCGATTGCCTTGTACCTCAATTCTTGAGGGGCCTCAGAAAATTAAAAGCCCAAAAATTCAAAAATAAAATTATTTTCTTTTATGAGTTGGGTTATTTACTCCATTTAAAAGACATGACTAAATAACATGATGGAATAAATAAGAGGCCAAAAATATTTGGACACTTACATCCTTAATGAGCTTAATTTAAAAAAAAAAAAAAATCTCCCATAGTTTTTTAGTAAGCTTTTAATTTTTTT